GGCTGGGTTTTTCCGCCTGAATGCAGCCAGGTGGCAGAACATCGATGGGCCACTTGCACCTAGTCAAATCTTCCTGACACGGCTTGCCCCAGGCCTTGAAACATCTGGCAGATCAACCAAGAATAATTATTTCTATTTCTGTTTCAACCGCATCCCTATTCTCAAGGATTCTTCAATGCCTCGAGAAATCTTTCCCTTCTTTTTTAAATTGGAGGATGAAACGTTTGCTTGAAGAGTTTCAGAGTCAGGATTTTTCAGCAGGAAAGAGATGGGTTGCAGGGCAGCCTGTGCAGGAGTGACTGATTGGACGTGGAGTCCGTGTGCCAAAAGGAGGGAGCCAGCTTTTGGTGAAGGGAGGGTGAGACAAAGTCTTGGCCAATGGGGAACAGACAGAATTCTCACCGATGGATGTTCTCCATCATCCATATCATGATTGTCCCAAAGATGCTTTTTCCAAAATGCAACTGGTCTTCCTTGGTGGTTTTTTCCCCCCCTCTGAAAACATTTTGCTTCTCACCCAAGAAGTTTCTCCTGTTGTTCAGAATGGAAGAGGTTTCTTGGATAAGAAGCGAGACATTTTCAAAGGGAAAAAACCCCAAGTCCCCTTGTCTTTTGGAGAAGCAACTTTGAAGGAGGGCAGGCGGTGCCTCCCGAGGACCTTGAAGAAACCCAGCGTCTTCTGTACTGAAGGACATCGTTTGGGGGACCTGGCTCAAGGAGCGAGTGCGGTTTGTGGCTCTGTCTGTCTTGGACCCAAAGCTCTTAGCAGGACAGTGTGGAAAACACGTTGACCATTTGTTTATCGGGGCTAATAAGGTGGACTTGCTCTTCTGGGCTTCCGAAGAATGCCCTCCTAGTGCACTGCAGGCCAAGGAGTTGCTTTCTTGAGGAAGGAAAGGAGGAACCTAGAACATAGAATTGTAGGCTTGGAAGGGATCTTGAAGGCCTTCTAGTCCAACCCGCTCCTTAAGCAGCACGCACAATCATGGACTTGATGATGGAGCTTTCATCCCTCCCTTCGCTGTTCTTTCCCTTCTCAACCCAGGTAAGGTTCCTGACAGAGTTGGATTTTTGCCTAGGAAATTCCCAGTCTTGAACTCTGTCTGGATCATCTCTCATTTTCATAGGTCTCTGCCTATTTCTTGGCCTCAAGGCCAGCCCGATCGCCTCCTGAACTGTCCACCTTCCTGTTGATTTCCTGCCTTCTTGCATTTGTATTTCCATCCTACTTTGATCTAGCGTCTTGGTTTCAGTCCTGGTTCCATCGCTGCACCGACCGTGGGCATTCCCTTCCAGCTCCTCTTTGTAATCTAGGATGGTCCAATAAATCACTTTACGTCTTGTGGCCATCTCGGTTCTATCCGTCTTTTCTGCTTCGGCGGTCAAGCTACCACACCACCAACATCCCCCCAAAAAGTGGGGGGCAAAAGAAATTTTTTGGGGGGGGACTGCATTTGAGCTGGAAACTTTGCTCCAGAATCCCTTGCAAAGTCACGGGGGATATTGAGACACCACAACGTGATTAATCAGTTGCCAAAGATTTCTTCTCTGAATTGCTTCTTCTGAACATGTGAAAGGCCTTCTAGTGATTTGGAAGCGTGTCCGTCACAAGGTTCTTGTAAAAGGAGGGAACACAAAGAGGTAGAAATCCAGAATTGATTTTTATTTATTGCGGGGATGATCCATAAGGACCAAGTGCTTAAAGGATGCCGATTTAAATGTTTTTTCCTTCACCAATTTCATTGACGCTTGTGACACCTAGTGGCCTCGGAGAGCATTTCTCCCCCTTTTTTCATCCTTTGACAGGAATTATGTTGCCTTTGCATGCAATAGTCTTGACACTATGAGATTGCTGTTGTTGAAGTGTTTTGTGTACAGCAAGGGTCATTTTTATGTTGCCTTGTCATCCTTTTAAGGCTGTGATGCCACTTTACCTTGATCTGAAGGCTTCTGGGTGGGTGGATCTGTAACACCTGTGGTAAATCATACCCCTGCTGTGTGGCAGGTGCTGGTCTCTGGGTCACACCTTTGTGGAGAGAGGAAGTTTTAATCCCACACGGGTTTGTAACCCTTAAGTGTTGTTCCCCAAACACTTTTCGTACCTATTTGCATGTTTAAACTGATCTTCTTAGCATTTTTCTTTCTTTTTTGCATGCACTAACTTTGGTACAGTGGCTGCTGATTTTAATTGCTATCCTGGTCTCTTTGGCCGCATACCGGTTTCCAAGATACCAATGTTTATGATTTAACCAAGAAGGCCCGTTATCAAATGCCTGAGGGTGCAAATGCAGCACTTGTTTCGGTCTCATTAAAACAGCTGAGGCCTTCTATCCTTCCAAATGCTATGTTGGCAAAGTCTAGTCTAGCTAATATAGAAAGTAAAAACTCAGTTCTAGATACCAACTTTTAGAGCAATCTATCTCAACCTGGGCAGTTTGAAGATGCGTGGACTTCAACTCCCGGAATTTGGATGCTATGCTGGCTGAGGAATTCTGGGAGTTGAAGCCCACACATCTTCAAACTGGCCAGGCTGAGAAACAACGATTTCGAGAATATATTTAGTCAAGACAGTGCCTGGCCTTTTAAAAAAATATTCCCTCCTATCCTATCCATATATTCGCTCTTAAGAACTTGTCAAAGCCCAAACATTGTTATAAGCTTTGGATGATTTAGGTAAATCATATATAATAATCACGAATTACTTTAGGGCGCCTCGAAAATTATTTAGGTAATGGAGCTGAAAACACTCTGCTATTAGGATGTTAGGTAGTCAAACAAGGCCTTGTTTAATTCAGTTGCTTGCTTCCTCTGTGTTAGAAGGGGAATTCTTATTTGTGCTCCTAAATATGTATGAGTGTCAGGGACTGTATAGCGACATATTTAATCAGTCGACTGAGAAGGAGCGAAAAAGGGCTTTTCTAAGAAAAATTGCTGTCATTTTTTTGATAAGTGTAGCTTTCTGCTTTTCAGAGGAAAGAAGCTTACAAGGGAAAGTGTTCCTATTGTAGTTTATGCATTATTCTGAATGGAAGGTTTGCGAATATAAGCCTTCTCCATTTTTCTTTTAAAAAAATATTTTCTCCTCTTCCTACTTTCTCGACTTTTATTTTGTGACTACGTTTCAGGAAACAGATACAGATAGTTAGCCTGCTTCTCTTTCCAAGATAATTCTCTGCATTTTTGAGGTTGGCTGCATAGCTACGATTCATCATACATCTGGAACATCTGCCTGTTGGCCCCCTTGCTCTGCTCGGCTCCTAGTTCCATCTGAAGCAACAACGAAGTAGAACAATTACGGAAGAATCTGGTGGCAGAGTGATAAAGTATGAAACCGCACAGAAACAGGGCCTGGGTTTTATGCTAGTCCACATGCAGGATATTTCTGGGCGCTGCCTTCCAATGTGTAAGGTAGTTCCTTAAGGACAAAAAATGCCTATTTGAGAGAGTGGATTTTGACGCACGGCTGCGAGATTCACTTAACAACTGCCATTAAAAAAATGATTGAAAAAGTTGGCTCTGGTGATGTGGTGCCTTGACTTATGGCCGCAATGATTTATGACTGGAATCCCGCTCCCAATTGCGCTCATAAGTCGAGGACTACCTGTAACCAGCAATGGGGGCCTGGCTCACCTTGCCATTCCTTGATCCCCCAAACACCCTCTACCGCTTCTCCGCTTTAATTCCACCTTTGGCATAGTCCAAGATTAGAGGATCTCTGGGGTGATGCAGACAAAATCCAAGCCCAGACTGAGACCAGCACTTGCTGTGGATCAGGTGCGATGGCCCGAGTGCTTGAGAAGGACCATCCCGTCAGCTGCATCTCGCCGTAAATGAATTTGCCACCTGTTCCATCCTGGTGGATAAAAGTCACCATCATCCTGGCATGTAACTCCAGGAACGATTATTCTGCGAAAGCTGAATCTTTTGTAACCCAAAACTTTTGCCTTCAGAGCTCAAGGCAGGGCGCTTCTCTGCTGTCTTGGGGCCTCGTTTTGCCAAAGCTTGAATGTGATATGTCAAGAGGATCTCGGCCACCATATTGATGTCAGCAAGAGAATTGACTCCGCTTTAACTTTTGACAGTCTTTCAATCTGAAAAGGTGTGGAGGGGTTGAAGGTCTTGTGAAGAGTGGTTGAGTGAAGGGTGGCAGTTTTGTCCCTTTCAGCTGGGTTTTGTGCAAGGCCATCCAGAAGACTGCAAGGGATCCATATGAGAAGACCTCAGTGTAACCAATCAGAATCTCCCCATGTCTTACTTAAATATAAACCAGACGATTTCCAATCTATAGCTAATTTATCTTCGCCTGGAATGAATTCATTTTGTATCATTTGGAAGCTTATCTGTCCACCAGATGTGATGGTCCTGCTGGCCAGGAGACATCTGAAGGACAGCAGATCCGGGGGGGGGGGGGTCAGAGAATCTTGATCCTTGGGAGGGTGTGAAATGGGCAGACTTGGCATATTATGAGACCATCCTGGCAACAGGGAAATCGGGCTGCAAAATGGTATTTTTAATCTCTGTAAAAATTGTATTTTTAATTTCTTACCCAGTGGGCCAAGATTTGAGTAATCCAGCTTTATTGGAATTTTATCTGAACGGCATCATCTTTGGTAGCGATTTAGCTTTTACGAGATCAATGCAATTGCATGTTGCCATCTTTAGATCTGTTGTGGTTTCTCTTCTCTGCACAGTTTTGGCCAAAGGGAGATCTCTTGAGTCCAGTCCTTCTAGGTTTGGAGACACTAAATCTGACAACATTGTGCATTTTAAAGCACCCTCTCAAATGACCCATTTTAATAACCTGAAAGCTATTATATAACAAGCAGCCATAAATTAGTACAAGGCCCTGGGGGAACCCGCACCATTCAGCAATGAATAGTTAATGTGGTAGAATGTTGAGCAGGTTATTAGTTTTCAATGTACAAATGCTGATCAGGGAATGCTTTTTATAAGGTATTTAAAAGAAAATATAATTAACTGGTGGCATGCTTCTGTTGCAGCTCAAATTGAAATTATTCCATGCAAGATCTGCGGAGACAAATCTTCAGGAATCCATTATGGTGTGATTACCTGTGAGGGTTGCAAGGTAAGTTTTATGTTATACACACACCTGGGGAGGGGGGGAAGAGAGAGAGAGACACACACACAGAGAGAGAAACACACTTGCGTTGTGTGTATGTGAGAGAGAGGAAATTATTGTATCTGTTTATCCACTGACTTATTTGTCTTTCTGCAAGATGAAGTATTGAATCTGGTTAGCAATATCAATAATCTGCCGTGGATGGATTTTAAAACTTCTGGTTGCAATTTCTCTCCTGAAGCTGTGCAGCCGTCCTGGTGGGATGCATTTATTTTTCACCCTGTCCTTGAAATGAAAAAGGGCATCCGTTACATATTGGAAGGGCTTTTGTCTAAATTTCAGGGAGCGAATTGGGCACAAAATTTCAACAACTGAAGGTTGAGGGGCTGCCCATTATTCTTTGTCCTACTTCTTTTTCCTTTCACGGGGGTGTCGCTGTTTGTAGTGGCAGAGCAGAAGAGCTTCTAGGAGAGGGCTGTCCACGTTTGGCAACTTTTAAGACTTGTGGATTTCAACTCCCAGCATGGCTGGCTGGGAAATTCTGAGCATTGAAGAAGGGGCTTTTTTTTCCAATTGAACTTCCTTGTTTTTCTTTGAAGAGGTTTCGCTGCTCATCCAAGAAGCTTCTTCTGCTCTGACTGGATGGTGGGGAATGGAAGGACCATCCAATTAGAGCTTAAAGAAGCTTCTTGGATGAGAAGCGAAACCTCTTCAAAGAAAAACTACAAAGTTGAGTTGCCTTTTGAAAAAGTACTTTTGGGACATCCTGAACAGTGATGAAACAGTGATCCTAATTTTCGGGGCAGAAGCTGAATTTCCGGGCTAGAAGGTAGAAAAATCCTTTGCAAAGTGATCCCAAAGTTCTGAAAGTAGAATAGAAGTGTGTGTTGTTTTTAAAAATGTGTTTGTTTTAAAAATCCAGAATTAGGGTTAGAAAATTGGTAGAGTAAGGGAAAAACAACTCCCTGGTTCCTAATTGGCAATTATTGGAATATTGTGAAAGGTAATGATACATGGAAATCTGTAAGTGTTAGCTATAAATCATGAGATTATGAATAAGTCTTTGTTGTTACAGGCTGGTGTGTATCCCTTTCAGAAGGCTGCCATTAGAAGGCAGCTGTCAGCTGTTTTCTTGTAATTAAACAGCCAATGAGCAGCTAATTAAGACATATGTGTATACAGAAGTGGAAGTGGGCATGTTAATGAACTGTAGGAATCAATTCATTAAATGAAAATTGTCAAAAGACCAAACACCAAGCTTAGAGGCTCACAGCCCTGCCAGGTTCCCCCAGCAGTCAGGACGGAAGGAAAACAGAAGCACGGCCAGAAGTCAACAATGGGCCCTTAATCTTCTTGGGAGGGGAAGGAAAACCATCTCCTCTTCTTCAGACCAACCCCTCGGCCTTCTCGGTGCTCCCAAGCAAATGATTTAGACCGGGGGTGCCCAACCCTGGCCACTTTAAGACTTGTGGACTTCAACTCCCAGAATTCCCCATCTGGCAAGATCATGATGCCCTCGGGGCCCTGACCTAAGAATGGACCACATGGGCAAAGTCCTCAGCTTATGATTGAGCCAAGCCTTTATGTTGCTAAGTGAGAGGTTCAATGAGCATTGCTGCATTTTACGACCTTCCTTGCCCCAGTCGTTAAGAGAATCACTGCAGTTGTTTAGTCACACAGTTGTGACTTCGCTTGTCAGAAGGTCGCCAAAGCGGATCACGAGATCCCAAGATGTTGCAACTGTCATAAAATACGAGCCGGTCGCCAAGCACCTGGATTTTGATCACGTGACCCCGGGGAATGCTGTAACGGTCGTTAAGTGTGAAAAAAGATCCAAAGTCGCTTTTTTCCCCCCAGTGCTGTTGTAACTTCGAACGGCCACTAAACGGATGGTTGTAAGATGAGTGTCAGCTTTGGAAGCCATCTTGAGACCAGATGCTTCCACGCTGCCACATTTTGAGCCTGGGAAAGTGGGAGGGGGGAATTTCTGGGGGGTTATGTAGTTAAGACATAACAACATTCTTTTTCTAATTCAAGGTCATGTTATTTGGTGCATAAGTGAGGGCAAGTCTCAAGCTGGGACGGATGGTGATCGGGGCTTGTGATGCGATGATGGGTGCAGGGTGTGGATTTTGTAGTTTTTACTTATTGCCCAGAACTTTCAGATTCGGGATTCCCCAGTTGTGCCAGTTTACTATCCAAATAAAAAGGAACTTTTGAGAAGATGCCTGTCTCGGAGTTGTTATTGGTTGGCGTGGAGGTTTGCTGGGACGCTGACATTGGGACTCCTTCTACAGCATCCTTCCCGTCTTCTTTCCCTCTCCTCCGGCAGGGCTTCTTCAGGAGGAGCCAGCAGAGCAATGCCACCTATTCCTGCCCTCGCCAGAAAAACTGCTTAATTGATCGAACCAGCAGGAACCGCTGCCAGCACTGCCGCTTGCAGAAATGCCTTGCTGTGGGGATGTCGCGAGATGGTGAGCTTTCCTCCACTGCCTGGTGGGTTCGTGTATGTGTGTGTGTGTGCGTGAGAGAGAGAGAGACCCTGCCCAGCTTTGGGGGGCTCCTCCACTGCCTTGTGATAATTCATTTTGAAACCCACTCTCTTTAGTAGCCTCGAGGGGGTTTGGTTCCCTGCAGCCCCGCTACACGCCATTATCCAAATGTTACCGTGGCATTCAGCATTTGCATTTAATGTACACCAATGTGTACTTCTCAGAAAGAACTTTCCTCACATGGCAAAGGGTGGCTTCAAATTTTCCTTCCTTCCTTCCTTCCTTCCTTCCTTCCTTCCTTCCTTCCTTC